CACATACCTATATATACTGTATTTACATAAATGAATGTAAGGACTTAGATATACATTCCTTCACATTTTTTTTTGTTCTTATTTCATTTTATTCTATTGTTCTTGTTTTTCTTCAATATAAATTCTTTCACTGCGTTTAATACTACTGAAACAAAAACAAAACATTTACCACACCGCCATTCCAAATTTTTTTTTTCCTTGTTTTTTCTTGTTATACAAAATATCAGTAAAATGAATAGCCCATACTGTAATAATATACATATACTTTAGAAAATTTTCAAAAAAGATCTTATAGAAAACATACTTTTTATATTTTAAATATATTTATATACTTAAGTAGATATGGGAATATAAAATGCAAAAGGAAGTTGTTGTTAAATAATAAATTTTTAATAATTATTATATGGAAGGTGGAGAGTTAAAAATTTTGATAAAAAAAAAAAATTAAAATTATTGAAATAATTTTGAGCTAGACTCAAATGTATATAGTTTGCATAATTTTGAATTGAAACTACTTAATAAGGAAATCCAAGTTTTTTCGAAAATATGTAAAAGCCGGGGAATTAACATAAAATCAGTCCTAAAATAATTGTATTGTATAACACTGTAAATTAAAGTATGAGCGGTTGACAAAACTTTATAAATTTTTTATGAAAAGTGTGAAAAAAGATATAGAAAAATTTCCATGAAAACAAAAACTTCTTCAAAAAATTAAATTTAAATATTAACACAAATTAAAAAAGTTTTAAAATGTTCAAATTTAAATGATTCATCCAAGCCATCTTGTATTACAATTACAATACAATCATAAATTCTATAATGACAAGTTATATCGTAAAAATTCTGTAATGTACAAAATACATAACATTATATACAATTCAGGAAAAGCATGATTAATTTAATACAAAGAAGAGTGGTCACTTATAAGAATGCTTACATACATATATGAAAAATTTTTTTAGTCCAATTAACAATATCAGAGACAACGAATAATATTAAAATTTTATAGTTTCCTTTTTTTATAAAAATAAACGAATACTAAAATTCCCGACAATATTTGCAAAAATTAAGTAATACGATATTTAAATATGTAAATTTTCATATATAAAATATTCAAATATAGAAGAACATGATAATTCATTTATGTACTTACAATACTTATATAAAATATCCTTATGAAAATTTACTATATATAACATAATATATAGCAATACATAATTTATATAATTATAATATAACTCAATACATAATTTTATTTCATATGTATATATACATTTAAGTACAATATATTCTCATATATAATATCCTTCTAACAGAAACGAAATTCTATATATTCTATTAAATAAAAAATTATAGAAAATTTTTACAAATTTCGTTTATAATAACTTTATAATCTATACATTAAAATTTATATATGTATTATACTAAGTACATTAAACATAATGTATATTCGAACAATTTATACATATAAATATATAATTTTTTCGAATATATAAGAATAATAACAATTAAATAAAAGCAAGAGAATTTAGCACACAAATTTTATATTATTTTGTTGGTTTTTTTTTTTCGTAAATTGAATATAAGTTAAAAAAAAAATTTCTAGGATTTTCATCTGCTTTTAATAATATACATACATATAAATGTAGATGCATATCGTATATAATATATAAGTTTTGATGATTTCTTAAAATAAATATTTGAAATTAAAATTTATTATATAAAATTTATAACAAAATTTAAGTAAGTATATGTATAATTATGTATATATACATATATTTCATATTGGAGAGAGTATACCCTTTTATAGTGACAATTTTATTTAAATCGAAATGGATTTTTGAGAGTTATACATATATATAATATATTCGTAATACCTACTTTTTATTCCTTATATTCATAAAATATTTTTTCCCCTTTTTTTTTTTTTATTTCGCTCATATTCTTCGAAATTTTTTGATATGAAAAATTGGAGTAAATATATTCATACACATATGTATATATATACTACATACTTTATTATATATATTCACGTCTATTTCATATATACTGTTATATAAATACATACTTTTATATATATATATATATATGAAATCATACTTATGTAGGGCATGCGCGTATTAAATTATATCAAGTATATTCTAGCGAAAATTATCGTGTCAACATATATGCAATGATTATAATATTATAAATTTTATATTAAATTTTATATAAATTCGGAATATTATAACAGTAATGTCTAGTTTTGTAATTTTAATATGTATAAATATAAATATATGAAATAACAATTTTACAAAATTTTATAATATAGGAATGTAATAATAAAAAGAAGAGGAAAACTATTATTAAATTGTAGAAATAATAAATGTATAAAAGAAGTTTAATAACTTTTTCATACTATTCACTTATTACTCGAATATATTATAATATTTTATTTTAGTTTAAAAAAAAAAATATAAAGAAATGTTCTTGACGACATTGCACATTAATAATATTCAAGTAATAAAATATATTTTAAAATATTTATATTATATAATAAAATTATTTTGTAGAACATAATTTTTTTTTTATAATAAAAAATTTTTATTGTAAAATATTTCATCCTATATATAATATATATGCAAATGTATATATGGTTTTACTCAGAAATTTTTCCATTTAAGAATTACAAATACTATAATATTAGACAGAAATTAAGTTTTAAAATTAAAATCAATATAATATATAACAGTTTTGATTTCTTTTATATTTATTATAACTCATTTTTACTCATATTGTTCTGTAATTGAAATTTCATACTTTAAATATTAAAATCAGTATTAGAATATCAAATTAAACAGAACTGAAATATACATATAATTAACAACCTCCATATATTAAAATTCCAATAAAATCGAATTTTAAATTTAATTTCATATAAATATATGCTAATTACTTCTTACAATTTTATTATATACTAACATACTAAATTTTACTACTGTATAACTCGAAAAAACGAAATTTTTATTCTGATGACCGAGTATTCTGATCAAATTTTAGTCACAATAATTTTACATATTTTACTAAAATGTATTTACTCTTTCTTCAAAATATGTATATATAATAAATATGTATAACAAATTGTACTTACAATAACAATAAGTAATCTAAGTTATCCACCCACTTATATGTGTTATTTAATTAATAACATACAATTTTTTTATTAATTAGTAGACCGTCGCATATTTTCAAACGAAATTTTGTAAAATTTTGAAAGAGTGGTATTTTTATATTTCTAAATGAAAGTATTTTATTTTATGTATTTTAGAAAACTACTGCCATAGTGGTTACATATTTTGCTTAACATCAATTGAAAATTAATAAACTAGTTATACAATACTTCTACAGTTGTAAAGAAAGTTTTTTTTCGTTAAAGAACTAAAAATAATAATTTAGATATTTTTATAAACATCATATACTTAAACAAACGCTTGATAATTTCTTATTATTTTATACAATTTGTGTTGTAACATGATCTGTATGTAAATATTACAAATTTAAGGTGTGTAAAGTTGGTTTGAAAATTTTGCTTTTTATTTAAAAAAAATTTAGAATGCATAGCTGATTTACATATATAGTAATATATATTTACTTAATATATAAAATCGTAATCAAATAAAATTAAATGTGAATTGAGATATGGAATTTTTGATATAGTTTTTCTTTAACCTCATTTTTTATACAAATCAAACATTGTAATATTCGAAAACGTGAAGAAAATGAAATAGAATAAAATAATGTTAGATCACATTAGAAAAAAACATATATATATATATTTACGCCTCATTAGCTGATTAATCATGGGTCTAAGAAAGCAATTTGATAAATTACTATATTATATGACAGATTTGTTACCAAAATCTATAGCCATCAATACAATACACACGTCTTACTTTTACAAGAAATTCTTAATAATAAAATATTTTACATTTAATATGGTCAATATAGTATCATATACAAAAGTCATGTAGACTATTAATTAGTTTTGAATTTATTCAAAAAATTTTCAGTTAAAGTATTTCATACAGACTAAAATGTAATAACTTTGAAATAACAAAATTCAAAATCAAATTTAACAAAATATTTAATTTATACATACGAGTATATACAATATGCTTATTGCATTATACAGCGTCGGGTCTTTTCTCTTGTATTCCTTATATATATCAATATCAAGATTAATTTATAAATATTTAATACATATATTATTTTAAATTTTATTAAAGCAACCATGTAATTCAGAGGTTCGAAAGCTTTTTTCTCTCGTAGACCCCTTATCATGTTTTTCAATTTTTGATAGACCTCCTGCTACATTTTTTGATAAATTTAAATTTCTAACAGTAGCAAAATACACCTATAATGTGAGCGAGGTAAATAAAAAACTTATTAATTTAATTAATATTTTTTCGTAGACCCCTAGCAAGTCTATATTCATGGACCCCTGGGAGTCTATATAGGATACTTTGGGAATCTCTGATGTAATTGAGCATTGCAAAATTTTATTTTTACAAAATCTCATTTCCTACTTTTATTACGTAAATTAAAAATTTAGAAATACATTTCATATAAAATATAACACTTATATATATATCAAATAATTATTTCAAGTAAAAACAAAACACTAACAATATTTCCATAATGGTGAATATTCAATTTTAACCTCAATTTCTTTTTTTACTATTATCCTTTTATCATACATATTCGATTCTAACCATAAATATTATTTTAATTTGTACTATATATTATTGTACCTAAGTAAATATATATATATATAATAGCGGGTAAAACGATTTTTTATTTTACATAATTATTATTTTTTTTTTTAATTTAAAATTGTTATTTTTAAGAAATTTTTATTTATAAAAAAAATTATATTATATTAGATTTATATTTGATATATATCAATTATATTATATTATATTAGATAATTGATATATATTAATTGTGTAATTAAAACTTACCTCAACAAATCCAGAACTGCTAACCAATAATAGAGCTGACAATATCGTTATTAACATCATATTTATTTTATTTTTATGTATATTTGTATATATATATATAATAAATTAGTAATATATTATATATATATCGTCAGTTTATAATATTATTTATTGTATATATATATATAAAAAAATTTCCTTTATATTATTGTTTTTTACTATATTTTGTTTATTAAATTTTTCACAAAATTATAAAATAAAATATTTTATATATTTAAAATATCCTTTATTTATTATGATATTTTTTTTTTTAATAATCTGCTTAAAAATTTTCTTTGCTGAAAAATTATTTTCAAAGTTTTTCTTTTATGTTGTTCCAAATACATACAATATGTAATATTAACTTTATTTCAAATGAAAACGCAAAACAAAAAAATAAAATAATTTTTAAAAATTAAGTGAAAAAATAAGTAAAATTTAATAAAAATATTTAAAAAAAAAGCTACTAAAATTGAAAATAATTATTTTATTGAATTTATAATTAAAAAAATTTTATTATTATTATTAAAGTTAAAAACACAATAACACAAACAAACAAAAAAAAACAAGTCAAATTAAAAAATTTATTTATTTTTTTTTATATAATCTTTTTGTATAACAAAAAAATATAATATAATTCTACACTGCTGTCATTTAGTAATAAAACAAGGCGAGTATAAAAAACGCATTTTACAAGAAAAAAAATTTTTTTTGTATAACACTTATATACAACTATGTATGTATAAAAAAATATATTAAATATTTATATAAAATATTTTAATATATTATTGATAAATATATTGGTACATATTTATATAACATTATATATGAACGTATATATATATATATATATATAAAATGATATTGTATGTGATTTAACTACAGAAATCTAGTAACTAGAAAAAGAAAATTCGTTATCGATTTTTCCTTTCGTATAATTTTATTATTATTATTTTTTTTTTTCAACACATTAAATATGTAAGTATATTTTTTTCTTCTTTATGCTATTTGTTTATTATTTATTTATTTATTTTATATAATGTAAGTACATATATATAAAGATATATATATTATATATATATGTATGGGATTATGAAAAATATAGATTTTTCTTCAATTTTTGTAATTGTTCCACAAAACAAAAACACAAAATTTTACGTCAGCGTATAATAATTATAAATTTTAATATTTAAATTATGCATGTACTCAATAGAAATATAGAATTTATATACATATTATATAAATATTTTATTTATAATATACTTGACATAAATGTATGCATGAATATATGTATATCAAATATAATTAGTATAGTTAATTTTATATTTATTTTGAAATAAATACTATATTCTTGTACAAGTAAGTCAAAGGTATTAACAAATAAAATTACACTTTTTGTTTTGTTAAAAATTCACATTTAATATACGCAAGAAAAATTGAAAAAAAAAAGAAACCAGGATTTTTTTTTATTCAACAACACAATCAAATATACAAAATTATTTTTTTTTAATTTATTTATTTATTTATTTTTTATATAATTATTATTTCCTTATATTTTACTATATTTTTTTTTATTATTAAATTTCTTTTAAGAAAATTAAGAAATAAAATTATATACGACGATTTATGTAGAAAGTTTTCCTTTTTCTTTATATCAAAAAAAAAAATTTTTTTTAAGCAAAATAAAAACTCTCAATGACTGTTATAATATGAGAGTAGAATGTTTTTAGTCATTGTATGACTGTATGAGAGAGGAAAAACGGAAATTTAAATAAAATTTCCCTTTTTTATATTTCTTCTAATTTTTATATTTCATTTGTTTTCTATTATAGTTTTTTAATATATAAATCAAAGATATTGCTACTTTTATAGTGTATATTTATGTACACATGTACGAGTTTGTGTCATCGAATTTTTTTTTCCCTAAAAGGTTTCTCCTATTATTTGCCTTATTAATTTTATTTATTAAATATCATTGGTCTATTTTCGAAAATATTCTCAAACAATATTTTCTATTTTCGAATATGGGAAAAATTTATTTTTATTTTTGATTTTTCTAAATGAAATTTCAGTGAACAATAGTATATTTCTTTTTTTACAAAAATACAATAAGAATAATAGAGAAAAAAGAGATGGTTTTAAAAAACTAGCAAGTTTCGGAAGAAACGAATGCAAGCCGAACAATAACGTTTTTAACAAATACAAATTTTTATATGATGAGAAAAGGAAAAAGATAACACACACACAAATAGAAAAAAATATTAATAATAATTTTGTCTTTTCGTTCTTTCAATTTCCTTTCTCTCTCACAGTAATTCTTAAAATTCTTGATCCTTTTTTTTCAAAAATATTTCTAAATACACACACAAGTTTCTTATTATATTTTTACACTTTAAAAAAAAATTTTTTTTTCTTATTGTAAAAAATTTTCTGTAAATTTTCAATTTTTTTTTTTCAATGATTCATTGAATATTGATTTCGCCGGATTTTAATTTTTTTTTTCATTGAAATATTAAAAATTTATTAAAAACTTTTAATAAATTTTTACATGTTTTTTATTACTTAATAATTTTACACAAATATTCAAATATTTTCTAAATTTTAATATTTTACAATTAATTTTATTTTTTTTATTTTCAATTGAAAAAAAGTAATAATAAAAAAAATTGGTTTTTGTATTTTACCGTAACGCCAAAATTATATGACCGAAACGTATGTCGTCTGCTATAACTCTAACTACGAAAAATGCAAATTTTTTATTTGGTCAGAAAAAAATATGTATGTATGTAGATAAAAGTACGAAACGAAATAGGAGTAAAATATTATTGTGTATGAATGTATGTATGTATCTTGTGATATGACGAATTTGATTTTTTTTGTTTCTTGTTTTTTTTTTTCGTCATTTGAAATGAAAATATTTTCGAATTTATGGAAAAATGAGTGTATGTATATTTTTTAATATTTAAAATGGGAAAAAAACTTTTTCAAGTATTCAAAGCTTTTAAAAAAGGAGAATGAATTTTAGAACATACTTATATGCCTGCGTAACCAACAATATTTGTACATGCCAACTATATACAAATGTCGATATGTACGTGGGTAGGGATTCATAAGTTTGCAGAAATATGTTATAAAATTTAAAACGCACATACTATGTAAAAAAAAATATATGTGTAAGCAGAAGTTAACAGTGCTGTCTTAAAATTTTTGAATGAAATTTTCAAAATTACACTCTTCGTTTAAAAAATTGAATTATTTGCCCATAATAGTAAAAATGTTTGTTCGAAAAAAAAATTTTTTTTTTGAACCGTTGAGTTAAAATTTTTTATCTATTGCTTAGAATAACAAAAAAATCTATTTCCTACCAAATTAATTTAATTACATATATGAAATTTTTTACTAAAATGAAAATTTTTTTTTTTAAATTTTAAAAGGTACAGAGAGTTTCAATATTTATGGATAGTATTTCTATTATGATTCAGCTGCCAAGTTTCATTTATGTTTTAGCGTTTTAAGGCATGCGTATTTAATTTTTTTCATTTGTATGTATATTTCTTTCGAAAATATATCTACCATGAAATTTTAATTTATAAAAATAAATTTCTGTCGATTTTGCTGGAAGGAAATCTTTTTTTTTTACTCACAGTACTCTATTTTTTCGAATACGAAAACATTCACACATAAATATTCGCTCATTACCTACCTACATTCATTATTTTAATATACACTTGCATACAAATTTGTACATAAACACAAATACAATTTCGGTTAAAAGCTTATTTTATTAAAGAAATTTTCATTTTTTACCATTTTATAGTACGTTTGTATTATATTATTTATAATATAGGCATTTTATATTCAAATTTTCCTTTTTTTTCACAATATTGTATATTTATTCGAAAGCTGTAGTGATTCAGAAATTATCCTTAGAGCTTTTTTTTTTCATACGCTTTTGTATAGGAATGTTTTAAGCAAAATATCATTATTATGTATATGTTATGTATATATGCAAGTTGTTAATATATATAACATATTATATTATAATGTTATAAAATTATAATAACAAAATATGTACATAAATACTAAAGTTATGTGTTTAAAATTGCGTTCAAATCTTAAAATAATATTAAAATTCAATAGATATATATGTATGCCTATTTTACGAAAATAAGATTTAATATACCAATATATTTCAATAATGCAATAAATTTTATTTCTCTATTAAGAATATAACACTTGTTGTATTGAAGACATACATATATAAATTCAATAATATGTTGAAGACAACTTATATTATTCTTTATTCGAGCGAGCATTCTCAACGTGAAGCGGTTTTCACCAGTGAAATAAATTAAAAATCCGTGAAGAAAGATTGAATTTTACTCATATTTTATTACGAAATACTATTTTGGTATTTAAGGTATTTAAAAAGCAAAAACACAGTACTTACGCCTTAACAAGAATTCTTTTTATATTACTACTTACTCCAAAGTTTTAAATAACTATAATATGCCTATAGGCTTACATACATCCATATATAAAATTAATATTTTCAAAAACTAAGATTCTGGACAACATATTAAACTTCTCATATTTCAATTGACCTTTTTCAAATTTTGTTTGTTTCAATTCTAATCCAATTAATTCTGCTTCATAAATTTATCAAAATCAATATACACACATAAATACATTATACATGTTCATATGCACGGATATTTTTAGTGGTAATATTATATTGAGATTATAAATAAATATAAAAATACATATTTATATAAGTGGGTACATTAAAATTTTTTAGAAAAAATTGATTATATTCATTTAGTTGCAAAATATTATCACTAATTAAATATTTTGATAGAATATTATCAGTAGCAATAAATAATTTATTAATTGCAAGGGTATAAAAAAATTCATTTTGGGGAAACTAAAATTAAATGCAGTTACATATACTATAATATTATATTTATATAATATATGTACCCAGATATATATATCAATTAATAAAAATACAAATTAATATTTAGTTAAAAGATAAAAAGAGCAAACATATAACAACAAATAAATATTAGGCGAGCCTTTAAATTTGTTGAAACTATGTTATAACTCTTTAAAAAAAAATTTTTTTTTGTTGTAATTATCAAGACCAAGTAATGAATCATTACTTCACTAATTTCATAATAACTATGAATAGTAAAATTGTACAATTTTTTTTAAATAAATATAAGTATAATTAATTATTTACAGACTGCAGATAAAATAAAGCACACGATAAACTAAAATATTTATGAAGCTTCATGCAATTACTTGCCAAAAATATAAGGCAAGTTCTTATAAAAAATTGAATTTTTAATTTCTGTAATAATAATTAAGAATAATAATCCTAATTCATAAAATAACAATCTTCCCAGTATTATTTGTATTTTACACAACACACAATGTTTACACAACTATTATTACGAGTATTTAAAGTTTCAACGCAAGAATATTATAATTCTTGATAAAACTTTAAACAATCAGAAGAATGATTTGAACAATTTGATATTTGAAAACTAAATTGTTTGGGTATAAAAATATATTTTATTTACATCACCTAGCTTTCTGATTTATATATTATAGTAAAATATATTATATGTTTAGTATATCATTTATAACAAAAAAAATAACTAAAGTAACATTAATTGTAATGTAATGATAACAAAACTTTGTCAAAGAAAATTAATGAATATAGCTCCTTAATTCCTTATTTCTCTTCTGGAATATCGTGTAAACCACATTCTCGATTAGCCGGAACCGCAACGTCTAAAATGTAAAAAAATAATTCAGAATTTTTCTTTTAAAATTCCGCAAAAACAAGAAATGGGTGAACAAAGCAATTTTTTTTATACAAACTGATTTTACATACTTACCAATTTTCTTTGGATACGGCAAATTTAAATTATTCATTATGTCAACAAATTGATCCAAAGATTTAGTTAAGCGGCTATTATAAGATTTTTCTTCTCCTACTGTACTTTCAGTTTGACCTCTGAAAATTAAATTGAAAATTTTACCTAAAGACAATTGTAAACAATTCTTTTTTTTTTAATGCTTGGGTAGGTAGGCAACTACCTACTTACATCTTATTAAAGTTACTTTAATTTTAGCTGTATTAAGTACAATTCATTTAATAAGTTTCAATATTCTTTTAGGTAGTTAAAAACTTACTTATAATCATGAGCTGGATATATTCTAAAGTTGTCAGGTAATGAAAATATTTTATTGTGCACTGATTCATATAAAGTTTTAGGGTTACCCTCTTGAAAATCAGTTCTACCACAGCCACGAATTAAAACTGTGTCTCCAGTAAAAACTAAACCTTGTTCATGAATAACGTATGACATACAACCATTTGTATGCCCAGGTGTTGAACGTGGTTCAATTTGATGTCGACCAAATTGAACATTTTCATATTCAACAATATGTTTGTCAGCTTTAGCTCCACTACTTTTTGATATTACGCTTATACTTCCTGGTAATAAATGTTTTAGATATCCGGTCCCAGTTATGTGATCAGCATGCATATGCGTATTCACTATGCAATTTCAATTAAAAAAATTTTTTATAACATTAATCTCTTTACAAACAGGTTTAAGAAAACTTACTGGCATACTTCAAAGTAAATCCAAGTTCTCTTATCAATTGAGCATCTCTTTTAGCATGTTCTAAAACCGGGTCGATAATTATTGCCTCCTTTGTATTTGTATCGGCTAATAAATACGTATAAGTACTACTTACGGTATCGAAAAGCTGAAAATACAAAATTTTTAAATTTCTAAATATGTATATTTATTGAACACAATTTTACCTGACGAAAAAAAAAATCATTACTAAACGGAATTCTGGGGGCAATATTGGCCATGTTTATGGAAAACTTTCGAAAATGTAAATTGCAATTTCTAGCAGTTGTTACGCTTGACAGTAACTTCCCGACTGATCTAAATAATTTCATTTTATTATCACGTAGCAAATACTACTGGTGGTAGTATGCTATTAAATTATATTCTGTTTTTTACAATTAGTGTTAAGCACCAGTAAATTAATCGTTGACCTTGATACTATGACAATTACTTTTTCGTGCCCACAAATAAATATCTATTCAAGCGAAATTTTATATAAGTTTAGATTCATAGTAAAGTTGTATGAAATGATAAACAAACTTTATCCGTAGCGACCGCAACAAAATTTTTATCAAAGTTGTTATCTACAAAAGTACAAAACAATAATAACTTGTTTTAATGTTGTAAAAAAAAATTCTAAATTTACTGTGACTTTTGTATTATTGTTTTGATATACCGAATTCTTGCAATCATGTCAGTTTCTTATGACAGTAAAAAACACAGTAGACTCCAGTTGAACTGTTTACAGACAGTAGACTTGTAGTTGAACAAGAGCTTGGTTGAGAAACTCGAACAATTAATATTGAGAAACTCGAAAATATTTATCTATTTTGGTTTTTATTCTGATTTAAGCTACTCAATGTTATATAACCGGTAATACTAAAAGTGTAATAGGTATTTTAACCGAATTGGCGAATTTTGTCAAAATGTTTTTTTTTATTTTTAAGACGTAGGAAATATTCTTTTTGCTGATTTAAATGAGAAAATATTGGCAAAAATAAATAAATACATATTTTAAGCAATTTAATTATTTAATTATATTCAATTTAACAATAAACATGACCATTAAATGAACCCCCCACTTTATAAAAAATATATATATGTATGTATGTTTGTAAGTATAAATTTAATTATATCGACATGTAATGAAAAATATTGATTTGTATTTCTTAAAACATAAAAGATTTAGTAAAATAAGATATAGGCATTATGTTTATGTATTGTAACCAATAGAAAAAACGAGACATTTTATAGTTTTGCCGCAACAATATTTTTTAAATCAACATATGCACCAGAAATAACTTCCTTATTGTTCTCAATCACAACAGTTCTAAAATATATTCTCTTTTCGTTTTTATTGCACCACATATCCACTCTTAATGATTGTCCTGGTAATACTGGATTTGAAAAACGAACTTTTACTGCTTTAAATTGACTTGCATCATTACCAGCGTATGTATTTAAAACAGCTCTCACAGAAAATCCTAAACTGCAAAGTCCATGCAAAATTGGTACTTTAAATCCTGCCATTACTGCCATATTTGGATCAATATGTAAAGGATTTAAATCTCCTGATAAACGATATAAAGCAGCTTGATCCAAAGAGGTTTTGTATATAACAGATTTATCTGGTTTCCTGTTTGGATTTTTTAATATGGGAACTACTCCCGATTTAGGATCTTTTTTACCACCGAAATTTCCAGCACCAACGACGAATGTTGTACTTTGATTTTTAACAATTAAATTTCCTGATTGATCATAACTATTGCAATTGGTAACAACGGCGGCTCCAGATTTTTTATCCATTATATCAAAAACTTCTCCTTTAGTAGTTAGTTCTCCATTTTTAGGCAAATCGCTTAATATTTCTAAATATTGTTCCCCATGCAATATATTAGTAAAGTCAACCTGTGTATGTTTCAAAGCAGATGCAACTAAAGTACTCCCCATACTCAGTAATAAACCTGGAAGAACAAAGTAAGTTGGAAATGGTCCAAAATCTTCATGATTTTCGTAAAGGTATCTCATATCGGGCTTGTGAGTAACACTTGCTCCTATTCCTAAAGAGTATAAAATCAAATCTTTAGATCCAAATTTGAATGTATCTTCGAATTCCGAATCGCCTTGTGTTCCATCTTGCAAGCCCTCAATTATTTCAAGTAAATTTCCGCTCGCTTCTTGTATAGCATTAAATCTGGAATAAATAACATAAAAAATGGATTAATTTTTCCATATTTTTAATTTTTAGCATACCTTTTGGCTTTCGACATATCGGTTATCCTTTGCCATTTATCTCTTACAACTTCTGGTTTAATGTCATTTTCGTCCAAAGATTTTCTCAATACTGCACCTTTCCCTCGTACAAAATGTATTTTAGTAGCCCAACCTGCTGCACTTTCTATAATAGAACCATTATCTTGACAAGATTCATGACATAAATAAGCAACAACTGGAGCTATAAGCTTTGGTTTCAGCTGTTGAAACATAATATCAGGCAAAATTCCTTCGGTTAATCGAGACGCAGCAGTTGGAACGATTACGTTGCAATGAATTTTATACTTGCCTCCTTCAATGGCCAAAGTGTTTGCTAACCCAACTAAACCCAATTTAGCTGAACTATAATTTGCTTGGCCAAAATTACCATATATGCCTGAATTACTTGCTGTCAAAATTATTCTGCCATACTTTTGCTTCTTGAAATAGGGCCAAGCAGCTTGTGTAGTTTTAAAACTTCCTTTAACATGAACATCTTGAATTAAATCCCAGTCCTTCTCAGAAATATTAGCAAAAGATTTGTCTCGCAAAATCCCAGCGTTATTAATAACTATGTCAACTCTTCCAAAATTATTTATAGCTGTTTCAATTATTTTATCTCCATCTGTAACACTATTGTAATTTGGAACTGCTATACCTCCGAGAGCTTTTATTTCTTCTACTACTACATCAGCTGCTTTTGTAGACTGCCCTTCTCCATCAAAATGTCCACCCAAATCATTAACAACAACCTTTGCACCCCTTGATCCTAAGAGTAAAGCATATTCACGACCGAGACCGGCACCTGCACCAGTAACAACCGCCACTTTTCCATCAAACCGTATTTCAGCCATACTTTTAGTTCTCTCTTATACTGTCTGACTTGCAAATTTTCCGAAAGCGAAAGTTAATCTTGATGTAAGATTGATCAGCAAATAAAAACAATAAAAACAAGATAAGTTATCTTTAGTTCTGCTTGGAATTTGAACCTGTCAACTTTATTTGTGATTGTCAGTTTAGAAAACAATAATTCCATTAGATGGCGCATATACACTTCTGATAAGAAACCTATTCACAATAGTTATTTTTTGTTAACTTTGACGTTTCTCTGGCGAAATATTTGTGGGTTGTGGAACTTAAAGGATTCACATTCAAAAAATTACCATCGTCAACCATTACTTCCAACAAAAATACGTACTATATTAAGTTTAAATCGCCTAAAATGCTAAGCCGTATTTTTATGATTTAGCATATTTGATTTATTGGACTGAGTGGTATCTTTGAGGTAAACGACTATCGATCAAATGAACGGTTAATCGTTTATCCCCGAAAAAATTTCTTTTTGATGTGTACTGAATTTAAAAGCAATTTTTTCAATTTTTAAATTTGTATTTTTAACTTTTTGAGAGAAGTAATACATAAATTTGGACATATTCCTAAACAAAATTAGATGTTAATGGTACCTACAAAATTTATTAAATTTCAATTTAGACAACTCGCTTGACTTCGAAAAATCTTTTCAAGTAATAAACTTGACCTACAGTCATAACTACGAGAACTAAAGCCTCAAAAGTTGACCACATCACAACACGAGAGTTTGTACTTTCATTAATGGTTCTATGAATTTTATCGCGCACCTAAAAAATATTTTATTATAACTTCTCAATCTAATACAAGCTAATATTTTAACTTACATGCATATATTCTTGTTCGTGCTTGACACTTGTTAAAGTTCCAGATAATTCTCGGATCATATCTTCAAGTTTTGTGTGACCAATTTCATCTTTATCTGGAGCACCAGCTGTTGGACGTGGAGCATCACCAACTTCTATCGAAAACATAACTACTTTAGGAGTCATAGTAGATTTTAAATTTCCAAAGCAGGCTGTATAAATTCCAGTTGTATGAGCTGCGAAAGTATATTTGCCGGAAGATTCGCTTTCTCCATTATAGATAATATTTTGTTGAGGACCTGTTATTTTTACATCTATATCCATGAAACCTCCATCAATAACTTCAAATGTTAATCCTACAAATTTAAATTATAAAATAAATCTGATATTTTTATTTCTAAAAAAATTCACCTAATTTAGTTCCAGCATCAGCTTGCTCAAAAAAGCACTCTTCCGTATGTGCATCAACAGTTATTACAAAACTATTACTATAAGTGAATAAATGGCAAACAATTGATAATAATAATGATAATTTGATTTGGCAATCCATTTTAAAATTTACTAAAGTATTATTAATAACAAGTTAAAAATGAAAGCCACGTCTAGTAGAATGATGAATAAATGACAATTTGAAATGAAGCAAAAAATCAAAAAAAAAAAAAAATGACAACGTTTGAGAAATTTGTTAAACAATGCGTTTACATGACACGTCTGAATTTTTCCGTCTTTGAGATCGATTAACGTTTTCATAGAAGTGGTTTGTTTTATGTTTGAAAATTATTAGAAAAAAATTATAGAATTTTGTTAATTTTGAAACCAAATGAATTGATTAAACAATTTATGTACCTAACAAAAATTAGAGTATAATTATGTCAAAAATTTAAATATCATAAATACCAACAACAAATTGCTTTTACTATTTGTTAAAACTTTTTTTTAATTCAGAATCATATTTGACTTATTTTATCTAATTTGAATAAAAGTTTGAAAATTAATAAACCTGAACATTCAATAAAAAAAAAATACCAAATAATAAAAAATAACGTATGAAAATCAAAAATATACATCATATAACTAATAATTTTGAAAATAATAACTTGATTTATAATTTTTATTAAATGTAATTATTTCGCAGATTTTATATTATTCTTTTGAAAATTCATTATTCGGATTAACAACATTTACTTAATTTTAAATGAATATATGCATTTTCAACTCGATTAAGTAATTAATATGTATCCAGGTAGATTTCTTTCTTAAACCTTTTGTGCCATCTTTTGATTTTTACATCACATTAAAAGCTGCCAGTTCCAAAAAATTTCACTGTCAAAATAATAAAGTCATAAAAGTAAAAATGTCTGCGACGAGAAGGCTTCAAAAAGTAAGAATTTAATTATCACATATTTTTAATAATTAATCTAATTTTTATTACGTAAAATGAATTAATTTTGATATTTTAATAAAAGTACAATGTTCATATTACATAAATTTCTTTTCAAACTCTTAATACAAAATTGAAATAATAACCTTTATGAAAACCAATTGCCTTCTAATCCAAAAATTTTAATTTTATTTTTGAAAATTTTTTAAGGAATTAGCGGATTTACAAAGTTCCGGTTTAAAATCATTTAGGGACATTAAAGTTGATGAGCAGAATTTATTATATTGGACGGGTTTAATTGTACCGGTAAGAATTGAAACTGTTTTTTTTTTTCTTTCATAATTTTTAATGAATCATTACCTTGAAATAAATGATAATTTCAAAATGAGGCATAACTCAACAAAATTCATTGTTAAATTTTCATTAAAAATATGACAATTTAATTTTTATTATCATTGATTGTTATTGATATATTGAATTAAGAAGTGGGATATAATTAAATCTATTTTTAAACAGCTGTAGGTATATTGTTATTTGATGTACCATATACCTAATTATTTTATATTTCAATTAGTCACAAGAATGGAATGTTCTTTGAAAAGTGTAATATACAACTAATTAATTTTGAATTTTATAAAAATTACAGGAAAATCCGCCATATAACAAAGGTGCCTTTCGTATTGAAATCACTTTTCCTGCTGAATATCCATTTAAACCCCCTAAAATTCATTTTAAGACTAAAATTTATCATCCTAATATTGATGAAAAAGGTCAAGTGTGTCTGCCTATAATTAGTACAGAAAATTGGAAACCAGCAACTAAAACAGACCAAGGTACTTTACTATTTCTAAATTAAAAATTATGTTATATTTATAGGTTAATTTATTTATATTTTTCATTTACTTTTTTTTTATTTTCAACATACACTTCTAGTTATTAGCGCATTAATAGCACTTGTAAATGATCCTGAACCAGAACATCCACTACGTGGTGACTTAGCAGAAGAATATTTGAAAGATCGTAAAAAATTTTTTAAAAATGCTGAAGAGTTTACAAGAAAACACAGCGAAAAAAGGCCAAACGAATAAAAAATATTTAAAAACATAATATATGCATATAAAATTAAACAATATAAAATCAATTTATTTAAATATATATACATACATGTATATACATACATATAAATTATTAAAAAAATAAAACTAAATTTTACTTAGAAATTATTTTAAAGAATAAAATAAAGAATATAAGAATAGTAAATGAATAAAATTTGTGTAAATCAAAAAAGATGAAATCATATAAAACAATAGTAACTAAAAGAAAATTACATTTCAAAAAAAAAAAATAAAAAAATCTGATATACTTACTAAAAAAAATTTTTTGTATAAAAAGTTTTTAAATAGCTTTTCCTTTTAAACTATGTTACTTAATTGATTTTTATAAAACAAAAGTTATTTTGCAACCACTTAAAAGTAAATTATTAAAAATAATAATTCTCTTTATTTAAATCCAAATTTTTGCCTTTTTTTTTTACTAATCCAAACAAAGATCTTAAATTTAGAAATTATAAATTCGTTTTAAGTAAATTGTAACTAATGCATAATATATATTTTTAAAATTAGAATTTAATACATACTTAAACAAATCAAATTTTCTTTGTGTTTTTCGAATATTATTCTTTTTGCCTAATATTTACATTTAGATAGTTTGAAAGTTAAAGTGACGATTTAATTTTTGTGTCTATAAAATGTATTTACTGATAAAATGATTGTTAAAACAAAAAATTCGTTATTTGCTTTTCTTTTTTTCTCTAAACTTAATTGTAAAAAAATGTATTGTTTTTAACGTATTTTAGTATTTTAATTCTTTTAAAAATGATGGAAAACGAATTTTTTCTAAACTAGGTATACTGAATAAAGCTTGCCCGCAAATCTATAATGTGTTAAAAAAAAGCTACAACAAAGACAAAAAAAAATTAATAGTTACTGTCTTTATCTATTTAAAAAAAAAAATTAAATTGTACAAGATGCTGAAGGAGATAAATAAAAATAAACTATGTGAAAACATTTCCTTTCATTTATTTAGCTTATTGTTGTAAAGTTCATAAATTGGAATAGAAAACTTGATAGATAAAAATTACAATAAAATATAACAAATATACATTAAAATATATTTAAAATCTCATCAAAATATGAACAATACAATAGAATTTTTAAAAAATTGAAGCTTCAACAAATAAGACTTTATGATTTTAGTATACATATTTGAAACAAATTTTTTTAATTTTCTTAAATGCAATTATTTTTATTTAATTTTTCTATTGTTAATTTTAGTTGTTCGTTTTCTTCTTTTATTCTACAATAGTCTTGGTAAAAATCATCCGAATGTAATATTATGTCGAGAGCTTCGCACATATCATTATTTACTTGATACTGTTTGTTCCAAAAATTGCAATTTTGTGTATACAAATTCCATTTGTTCGATTCAGCGTTGAATTTAATTTCATTTTCCAAATATTCAAATTTTTTTTCAACATCTAATCTCAGTTCCTTTATTTGATTTAAAATTTCTATATTGATTCCAGTATTTTCTCGACGCCTTGTATTAACATTATTTAATTCTTGAAACTCATCAGTTTCTAAATTATTAGGAGTACTGCTTCGAGTATTTTTATTTGGTGCATTTAAAAATACATTCATGCTCTCTTTTGGAGTTATAGACACATTTTTGTTTTCTTGGTTTTTGTTATTTTCATCGAATAAATTTTCTTCATCATCTTCTTCAAGAATTTTAGAATAGGACATTAATTTACCTTCTGTGAAATTAGGTGTATCAGAAAGACCATTTTTATTTCGCATACTAAATTCATCGGATGAAATATGATTAGATGTGCAATTATCTTCGGTTAACCTCTTCTTAATTAGCCCTAAAGACATTTTACTACTTAAACGTCTTTCATTTTCGCGTCTTACCGTTCCTAGTTGATCCCAATCGAAACTCTCTCGTAACTTTTTGCTTGGATTTATATTGGAGTTTTGATTAACAGTATGTAAACTTTGAAATTCCATATAATCATAGAACGAATCTCGGTTTTTATTATCTTGTTCTATAAGCTGTTCATTGTTGAAATTGCTCATTGTAGACATCCTATTGTTTTCATGAGATTCATTAGTTTCTATCTAAAAAAGATAATGATTTTAACAAAACATAGATATACATAAATAAAACAATTAATACTTGCGAAGAAAATGCACTTGATTGTTTTTTAAAGGTTGATGGTACAAAGGCTACTCTTATCACTGTGGAATCATGCATTTTACGTTCTACGAGTGGCTTCTTTAAGAACCTTAAATCATGAGATATCAATTCTCCTTTTAGATTCCCAGCAACGCAATATGTCCCACAGTCAGATACCGAAATGGTAGATAGAGGATAACGAAATTGTATTTGTTGTGTCCTAGCTTTCTTTTTAACGTCATAAATATTTATAATTGAATCATATCCAGCACTGTATAATAAATCTGGCTGGTCAGCTGCAGTAGCTACATCCCTACAAGGAGCGGAATGGGCGTCAATTGCTTGAAATATTTTCCTATGCGATTGTATATCATATAAAAATATTGACCCTTTATGGGAAGCTATTGCTAAACGAAATTTTTTTTTTGGGCTAAATTTTGCAATTCTACAATTCCCATCGAAGTTTAAAGTTTCTAATTTAGCTTTTGTTTTCATACCGTAAATATTTATGGATCCATTTTCGTATACACATGCAAGACATTCATCTAACGAACTATAATCCAAACTTATTACGCTATGTTTAGATGTTTCAGCAGAAAATTTGCTTATATATTCATTTGATTTATAATTAAGAACTCGAATTTCACCATTGGACATACCCAAAGCAATTTCATAGGCTTTAAGTGGTGCAACACAATGCAAATTTTCAATCTTCATTTTCCTTATGCGATGAATATCAAATGTCCCATTTTTAGAAGAATTACTAATATTTGAACTAACTGCAGCATTATTATTTCGAATTTGCAAAAATTCTAATCTATTTTTTTTATTTGTTTGTGTGAAAATATTTGTCCCACTGAAGAAATTAAAGTCCACCGAATCATTTTGGGAACCTTCATAAGAACAAATAGTCTCCAAATTTTGAAAGCCTGATAAAATTGTAGAACGAGCTGATGATAAAACTTCCATTTTTCTATTTTCAGATTAATATCCCTTATATTAAAATAATATAGTGCGAAAATGAGTTTGGTAACAAAACTATTTTGATTTTTAATTACACCGATGGTTTAAAAACCACAATATGTAGTAAATTTATATTGTATTTTTATTTTAACTGCTATTTTTTAAATCAAATTTTGTTGTGTTGTGTGGGTCGGTCAGTCAGTGTTCTGCAGATATACGTCACCCAATTAACAATTCGAATAACATTATTGTCATTTTAGGCGCGAGTCACAATAGAATATCGAATATTATATCATGGTTGCATATCAATGTAAAAACATGAATGCGTTATAAGTGGAATGTCAAAAAATATCCACCGTTAGGGGAATCCGCAGCAGTAATTTGTATGTTCTATATGAATTTTGACACTTCAAGGCGGAAAAGCGAATAAAGCGAAATTGTAAAAAATGATAGAAATATTTATCTTAAAAGATTTCATAAAAGAATATCGCTACACTTAAAATATTATGTTTTTAGTATGATATAAATTTGATTTTTTGCGTTATATAAATTATGTTTTATTATTTGCAATGTGAATTAGAGATCTAACTTTGAGGTTATATTTATCCTACTTTTAGAAGTAATTGTGTGAAAGAATTATTTTTTCCAAAATGGGACTGTGATGATAGTGAATAGAAACCTTTTATTTTTTAAAATTTAAATATTTATAAAATAAACTCATGAAATGAAGACTCATTTCAAAATTCAATATTTTCAGTATTGTGTTACACAATTATTTTTTAAAAAAACTATTGTGAATAAAGTCATCATAAATTTAATTTTGTTTTAATACATAACTAAAACGTCAAATTTTGAAAGAAAAGAAATTTTCAATTTTTTTTTTTGTTTTTTTGTATTGCATTGCAATTCGGTAATTTTTCAAGCGCTCCATTGTAAGAATTTTTGTGTCTAACTAGTTGGTGAAATTTTTTTTTTCATTTTTTTTGTAAAAAAAAAATATTTAAATATATAAATAAACATTTACATTTGTATAATAATTAAATATGTAATATGTAAAATTAATTTTTTGATATGATTGCTGGTAACTTAAAAAAAAAAATGCTTTAAATTAATTAAAATCGCGTGTGTGGAATAATTCCTTTATGTAAATTTTTATCAACAATATTGTTATAGCTAAGTAGCGTACCTACCCAACTTCATCATATTTACATACATATATAGTGTGTTTGTAGTTCACGGTGGGCTTTTTTTTTTTGGTTTTTAAACTTAATGCCCACAGTAAACTCTCTAGTTAGCTATCAAAATATAATACTGAGGAAGAAAAAAAAACGATATTGAAAAATAAAATAGAGTAATTGTATTCAAATAAAATTTTTTTATTAAATGGCTTGATATTCATTTTAAATTATTTTGATAAAATTATTAAAATACATTTTAATTTTTTATTAAAAATATCAAAAATAAAGAAAAATTATATTGTGGATTTTAAAAATAAAAGAAAATTCATAGAAAAATGGTCAGAGGTAAGTCAGTGTGTGTATTTTATTGGTTAGAATTTTTTTTCTTTTCAAGTGTATTATCCCTTTCTTACATACATAGATTTAAATTCAAGAATTGAAGTTTATATGCAAAAAAAAAAACAAAAAGTCAAAAAGAGCGTTCAAATCTTTGTTTTAAAATAAAGTTAAAGAAAAAAAAAACAAAACAAGAAGAAAAATAATAAAAATAAAACTACGTCGTTTACCGCCGCGCCATAAGAGAAATGAAAATTTTTCATTACCTACCTTTTGAAATGGACGAGTTTTGTTGATTTTTTTTTTTTGCTTTGCTTTTTCTTTTTTATAAATTGTCAAAAATAATATTTTCTGTTTCATTCTTTTGCATATGTTTTTGATGTTGTATTCTATGACATATAAACTTTTTTTTTATTTTGTATTTTTTTTTTACATTTGAATTGCAAATATTTTTATAGATAATAATATAGTAAATAAGATTCGATATGTATATTTGTACAATGTGGTTAAATACATACATACATAAGGTACCCATTTATTTGCTACTATTAAAAGTACCTACCATACAAGAAGTGCATGTGTATAATTGGGCCCACTTAGCATTTTACAAAAGTAACCACCTTTTCATGTAAATTTGAAAGGAAATTATTAGGTACCTTTTACAAATTTGAATTAGGTGTAAGATTATATTTATTATACTTTTTTTAAAGTTTTGGGCGTACTATTGCTAGTATATGTCATTTTTGCTAAACTCCTACATCTTTAACTACAACTCATTAATTTAGATTTACTTAAAAAGAACCAAAAGCAAAAATGTTCTCAATTTCCTCCAAGTTTAAGTTATGTTCGATACCCGCAAGTATAATACCAATGATAAAGCCAAGCGAGTAATTTAAGTTCATTTCAATTACTTAGGCACCTACAAAAAAAATTTTATGACAAAACATGAGTCATTTAATCTATCTATTCACAAATGTAGGTACACAAATAACCTTTTGTACCCACGCATGCATCATAAATTTCTAATTACAAAAAAGTGAAAAAAAAAATTGCCTTAAATTAATATTATCTAGTTTGATGATTAGTGGGAACCTTAAATTCCCGCATAACTATCAATTCTAAGATAGGAATAAAATTTTAAAAATTCAAGCTAAAACAATTCTTGTAGGTAGTTATTTATTAAAGTAACCAAATGATACTACATTCTATATCATATACTTGAAGGAATATGTATGTATGTATATTATAATAAGATAGGTAAAGGTCTACTAAGTAAATAATCAGAATTAAAATTATCCTGGCTATACAAAAAATTAACATAAAATACTTAAAAATATAAGCAATTTATTCACCTGAACCATATGAAATTAACACTCATTAAACGACGCACCAATCATTATTCTACAAAGTAACTTTTAATAACCTACGAACAAGATATACGTATATAGGTACTTACATATAGTTTGTATTATATTTTAAACTTTGCTTTTTTTTTATTAATATTCTTTTGAAACCTTGACAAATTAAGTATAAAAGTAGAAAAGATAATTTTTGCGTTTTTATAAAATTTATAGTAAGTAAGGCTATGTCATATACATATATCTAAATGTATAACTATTAAAATATATATATATATGGGTACATATACTTATTTAGCTATATTAATTTTATAGTACATTAATAAATCGAAATTTATTAGGAATATTATTAGCAAAGTAATAGACAAGTAGAAAAATTAATAGATCAATTCATGAGAACAAAAAATCTAATAAATATTAATTTTGAAATGCTTTGAATTCACATAAAAAGCAAAAGCTTCATATTAATAATAATGGTAATTTTAATTTTTATTATTAAAATATTCGTTGTCATTTAATTTCTTACTTAATTTTTTCTCTCTATTTTTAAAAAATAATATGAAATTTTATATATGTACTTATTTTACCATACATACATGCATATTAAATATACAATTTAAAATTCCAAAGTGTAATCCTGAATTTTATCTTAAAATTTTTAAATTTTGTAAGACACCATTTTAGTTTTTTTTTTCTACATGAAAAGTATTTTGTTCGTGAACATTAAATTTTTTTTTTCTATCTTGGATATCTTGCGGTCTTCATGAAAATCTATTATATTTTTTTGATTTTCTATAGCATTTTACTTATCTTCATAGTTGTATAGCTACTAGGAAACATAATGTAACTATAAGTACTTAGATATAAAACTACTTGCACTTGTTTATTATGTATATGCTATGCTATGTATAAGTTAAACGTCTATAAGCATAAATATATATGTATAACAATAATTATTTTAGGGGTTTTTGGAGCAGACCTTAAAAGAAAAAAAAATTTTTTTATAGAAGTATAAAAAATGTTTTAATTTTTTTTGGTTTTTTATAAGTTTTAATTTTCTGTTACTTATGTTAATTTTTTTCTTTTGATAGGAAAGTAGTAAATAGCTAGGTATAGGGTAAAAAACATGACAAGGTCAAAAAGTCTATATTGTAATTTCATTTTGTATTCAATACTTTACATAAAATTTAATTAAAAAAAAAAAATAAGTAGAAAAATTAAAATGTAATGGAATATTTTTTTTTATATTTACTAAAATAAGTAGGCAAGAGCAAACAAATTTCAAAAGACCGCATTAAATTTATATTAATGGATGAAATTCATTTTAATAAATGATAAGAATATTTAAATATAACTTTGAATTAGTGTTGAAATTGAATTAGGTCTGATTACGTAGTTGTTTAAACAATTAAAAATACAATAATTGTATTTTCTACTTACAAGTTGAAAAATAAAATTGATGAAACGAAAGTACCTATTTAATTAACTCGTTCTTTAAAATACATAAGTAAATTAAATAGCGTAAATTTTTTTATTTTAGTATCGTCATTGAAAATTAATACTTTTTTTTTTTCCTTTGCCATAATTTATGTCACCCTCAGGAAAATGTAACAAGTTTTTAAAGTATAACCAATAAACAAGTAACCCTAAGCAACTTTTATTGTAATTATTATTAAAATTAAAAATTGAAAAAAATAAAAATAAATCATTTTATGCTTGTTTCAAAATTATGTTGGTAAATTTTGTAAAACCAATTGGATTTTCTGTTTTTTAATTTCTTAATCTCAAGTGTTACCTCAGCAACTATGTTGTTCAAACTTTCAATTTTTAATAAAATACAAATGTTCTTTCTATTCTTCTAATCAACTGAAATTAATATAGATTTCAGGTTCTAAATAGTGTTGTATTTTATTGCCAAAATTGAGATTGTTCTGCTAATTATGATCATATAGACTGTTCTTGAAAAGGTGTCGAATATATGCATAGCTATCATTTTTAATTGTACGATATAAGAACTTTATTAATTATTCATACTGTTTGAATTTAATATTGCATAAAATGTGCTTGCCTAAAAAATTAATTTAATTGTAATAGCAAATTATTCATTTACAAATTATTGAAAATGCATTTATAACATTTCTTCCACCCACATACTCGTACATATTTAATAAACAAAGAAATACTTACATAAGTATTAAGAATGACAAAGAAAAATCCCCTATTTATTGCTCACATCTTCAATACATGCATAAATCAACAACTTACTTTTATACTTAAGTATTAAGTTAGAAATATGTGACTTATATCTTGTAGTACAATTTCAAGTATGTAGTTATAGCTTTCTATTTTATTATTTCCTTTAAATAAATTTAAAAAGAAAAATCATTTTCATTACCTATAACAAAAAAAAAAAATTCTCATTTATAAGCAAAGTAATTTTCTGGAGAAGTCTTTGTGTTTAACTATTCATTTAGAAATATGCAAGTTATCTATACATATATATACTTAGATGAGTATGTGTATATGCACAAAAAGCAAATATATATATATATATATATATATATATATATATAAACGAACCAATTCGAAACAATGAAATAACTGGTATAACAAAAGGAAAATAAGAAGAATGAAAAAAATTGGAAAAGTTAGAGGTAAAATTCGTGAAAAAAAGCGAAAAGAAAAACAGATTTTTTTGTTTCTTATTCTTTTTTTTTTTTATATAATATTCATAAAGCTTCAGCAATTATGTAATTTTTTATTTTGTTGCTTCTTTGCAATACTAAAAGGAAGGAAAAACGAGATAAATTTATTACAATATTTTTTTGTTACTAAACAAAAAATAAAAAATAAAATTCTTTACAATATTATTCGATGGCACATTTTAAATACCGCATACTTATGTGTTATAGCCCCATACTCAGGGTTGCCATTTAAGTAACAAAAAGTAGCAAAAATCTGAAACAATTTTTGCAATTAGTTTTTGATAATACAATGACATATGTCAAAATGCAAAAAAAATCAAACCACTTGCGTTAACAACAAAAATTGAAATTCATGACGTTAGGGAATTAGGGTCAAAAATATTGGAATTAATAACCTTTGCAAACTGTGTACCAATGATGTTCTAGGATAGTACTACTTATTATGTAAATTGAGCAAAAAAACTCATTCACTTGAAGCAGAACAATGCGGTAAACTTAAAATAGAGTAAAAATGTGTTTTATTTAAAAATAACCAAAAACTAGAAATGCCAAAAATGAAGTAGCAATTTGCTGGAAACAAGCTTGTAGTACTTTTGCTACTGCAGTAACATTGTAGCAACGCTGCCTATGTACTTACCTTTTATACTTAATAATTGCATAAATTATTGAAATATTTTTATGAAATGGGGATTTTATTAGTATACATACTACATATGTATTTCAACTACTTTATAAATTATGATGTTTTTTTTTTTCTTTCTTTTGACATCAAATAATTTTGATGCTATTTTAAATTTATGTGAGAATTTAATTAATATTTAAAAATTAAAAAATAATAAATATTGGTCGTTAATTAAAAATTATGATTATTTAAAATTTTAACTTAAAATATACTTGCTTACTTACTTACTTACTTATAATCAACAAGGTATGTTGTATTATTTCA